ATTTATTATTCATCATATATTTAATTTCAAACCAAAACAAAAAAAAACAACAAAACAGCAAAAACACATGCTACACACTGATATTTATCAAATGGAAATCATTGAATGAAAAAAAAAAAAATTTTTTTGCCAGTAACCTGTAATTAAGACATATGGTTGGCGGCCACCATTACCACCACCACCGTAATGAATTGGGCGTACAGCTTGAATTTTTCATTCATTCATTCATTCATCAATAAACAGAATATTTAATCGAATTATAAAATAAAATATATTCGGTTACAAATTGATTGATATTGATTCTGATTACGATTCATTCATTCAAGTTTCTCTCTCTCTTTCTATCTTTTGTGTTATAAATAGCTTTTGATTTATAACTAAAGTCTGGCCAAAAAAAACGAAAAAAAAAGAAAAAATTAAAATAATTGGCAAACAGTGATTAAAATCAATGGTTTTTAATCACTATTTGTTAATTTTTTTTTTTTATTTTATTTTGTTCATGTCTGCCCATCATGTATAACATGATAACAAACATATATATATAACAGGTATATACAGGTAGTAATAGACAGTGGCCAACACATGAAAATTTGTTGGTAAAAAATTGGCATTTTGAGAAAATATAACAGGTATATACAGGTAGTAATAGACAGTGGCCAACAAGAAAAAAAAAACAAAACAAAACAAAACAGAACAGAAATTCTTCTTCTTAAAAAAAAATCCTTAATCCATTAATCGATGATGATGATGATGATGATAATCATGCTTGTCATTTGATCAGAATGATCGATGATGTATGAAAAAAAAAACAAAAAAAAAATCAACAATTGGCCAACATTTGAACATGAAAATTTGTTGGTAAATTTAAATTGGCTACAAATTGTATACAATTATGTTTTGTGAGAATGCGCATGCTCAAAAAGTGCTATTTTTTTGTTGTTTTGTTACATCTTTGTTTGGTTGGCAACAGCGAAACAAAAAAAAACATGTGTGTATCTATTTGTCTATCTATTTTGAAAATTCAAGAGCAAAAAAAAAAATTTCGTTTCAGCACTGAATATAACCTCGAAACACACACAGAAAAAAACAGGATGATGACGATGATGAATTCAATTCAAAACATTGTTGACAGAGAACCTGTGTGAATATATCTGATGTTTAGTTTGTTCTGATTAAATCAGACAAAAAAAAAAAGAATTTGTTTTTGCATAAATTGTAAACAAATTGCTACAAAAAAATGAAATGAAATCAACACGCACGCGTAATGAAAATGTTTTTTTTGTTTGACAACAAAACAAAAAAAAAAAAAAAAAAATCCAGACAAAACACACATTTTACTACAGACGAAAAAAATGTATCATTTTTTTCAAATCTTATTCTTCACTTTTTCTTCACATAGTACACAATACCGTTAGTTTACAATTTAATGAATAAAATATTCTTCATCATTAACTTTTACCACTGCTTCTGCTGATATATTCAATCAATCAATCAATCAATCGAAAAAAATGATAAATAAGGAAAAAGTAATAAATACAAGGTTCATTCATTCATTTGCTGACATTTATTTTTTCTCTCTTTTATCTATTTCTCGAATTTTTCTTATAATCTAATCTCATTTGTTGTTGTTGTCGTCGTCGTTGTTGTTGTTGTTATAACATCAACATCAATATTTCAACATAATTCAGTCAGTAAGTCAGTTTTGGGGCAAAACAAAAAAAAAAAAAAAATTTAGACAGATACACAAATTATTACAAAAATTGATACTGTAGCAATTTTCGAATGAAACAAAAAAAAAAACACAAGAATCGATTCTATCGATCAATACTATCGATATTTAGAATATTCCATTTTCATCAATGATCAATGAAAATGGAACAATTGAATCTATCTATCATAATATTTATGATGATCTATCCATCCATCCATCCATCTATCTATCTATCTATCTAGAAAAAAAAGAAGAAGAAAAAACATCATCAACAACAACAACAATCAACTTGACTTCTGCTTCGTCGTCGTCGTCGTCGTTGTCGTCGTCGTCGTTGTCGTAGTTTTCATCATCAACAGTTCTATTGGTGGTATTGGTCTGTTCTTCTGCGAAGCGCAAAAAAAAAAAAAAAAATAGAGAAGAGAAGAGAAATATAAAACACACAAAATACATGTTTCATACCATACAACGCTGCTATCTTTATGGCTGAAAAATTATTATTTTTTTTCTTCTTCTTCTTGCTGTTAGTATAAAAAGGACCGGCAAAATCATTATCAATTCAGAGTATTCGGCGAATTTGACGATGGCTACAGACAACCGAAAAAAACAAGAAGAAGAAGAAGAAGAAAGATCAACCACAAAATAAAAGATGTTTCTTTCCTGTTATGTGATCTAATATATATATTTGATATATATGTGAAAGTATTATCACCAAATCAGACAAACACACACACACACACACACACACACACGCCCTAGCTACAACCAAAAAAAAATTTGATATCTCAACACCAAAAAAAAAAAAAATAAGTGATAATGTTCACACAGTGATTTCGTCTATTTATCATCATTCATTCATTTATTCATTCACTAATACGGTATATTCCAATCAATGTGCGTGTTTTTTTCATTTTCATTTTCATTTTTATTTTAAATCCACTTGAAACCACGACGACGACGACGACGACGACGATTTTTTTCCGATTTTTTTTTTGAAAATTTGAATTTTGTGCGTGTTTTTTTTTCATTGTTTCAACAATTTTGATCTCTGAAAATTGACATTTATTCATTCACTCACTCAAAATTTGATCTCAGCATGATTTTTTTTTCATTTATATATATAGAATTTATTTTGAATTTCACATTCTGTTCTTGAACAAACGAAACGAAGAATTAAAAAAAAGAATCCAAATATTTCTTGGAAATAAATCTGATACGATTCCGGTACGTGTGTGTGTGTGTGTGAATTCAGAACACAGAATACAGAATTGTCATAAAACTTGGCTTTTTTCGTTTTTTTTGTTGTTGCTACTGTTATCTGTTCGAAATTCTTGCCATTCCTATTCACAAGAATTTGACATAATTCTATTCATTCCTTTGTTTTTAAATTATAGTATTCCATTGAATGAAAGAGAAAATGATTCCACATGATCACCAAAAACATCAACATCATCACCATCATCATCATCATCATCAGCATCATCATCATAAACATCATCGATCATTATCGATTGATCCATCATCGATACAATTGTTGAAAAAATTTTTAATTTTCAATCCAAATTTAAATTTTTTAAAATTATCAAATTATAATCATAATAATGATGATGATGATGATAATAATAATAATAATAGTGATTATCATCAAAAATTGTCACCACCATCATCATCATCAGGTTGTCATCAACAATTTTATCATCATCATCATAACACAAGTCAATTAAAATTTGATCCAATTAAAACAACAACAACAACAAGGTCCAACAATATTTATAATGAAATGATACCAACAACATTATCTATTCAAACTGTGATCAACAATGATAATCAAGATTCATTATCACCATCATCATCGAATGAAAATAATGGAAAAAAATTTCAAAAAATGGCCATGACACTGGCCAATACGACCTCTACAACAGAATTGTTGTTGACATCGATCAACAACAACAACAACAATACAATGTCATCAATGATGATGAAGACAAAAAATAAGACGAAGAAGACAATTACAACAACAAAAACGAAAACAAGAACGACGAGGTCTTCTACTACATTCAACAAAATAGACAATGATAATAATCATGATTGTTGTCATCGTCGTTGTTGTCATAATTCTTTTTTGATACCAAAAAGATGTTCATCATCATCATCATCATCATCGTCATTATCATCCACACGATCATCATCATTATCATCATCATCATCGACATTACCATCATCATCATCATCATCATCCTCTTCCATTTCTTATTCTATAAATACAAATTCAAATAGAACATCGATACTATCGATAAAAACTCCATCATCAACATCATCATCATCATCATCACCACCATTGTTTACTATTCGAAAATTTTGTTGGATAATTTTTTTCCTATTTACATTATTCTCATCCGATTTGATGATGATGATTATGAGAATTATGGCAACAACAACAACAACAACAACCACGACAACAGCAACAACAACAATGACCAATATCAATGTATTTCCTATTCCAATGTTAATTGTATCGGCTACAATATCATCACCATATCATCATCGTCATCAACAGAATCAACAACAACAACAACAACAACAACAATCACAATCATTGTCATCATTACAGCAGCAGCAGCCTAGAATATCTGTATCGCCTTATCATCGTCATGATCGTTTATTTCCATTCGAACGTGCACAACAACAACAACAACAGGCACGTGATTCTTTAAATCATTCGAATAACGATGGTGGTGATGATGATGATGCTAGCTGTCCGAATTGTCGATTAAAATTAAATCGTACACAGGCTGAACATTTAAAATTGGATGCAATTAAACAACAAATTTTATCCAAATTAAATCTTGAATATCGGCCAAATATAACCGGTATGAATGAATTGGCACGTGAAGAGGCATTAGAAATTATACGTAAAGCAAAATTAGATCATATTCATGGTCGATCATCAATACATCGAATGGCAATGATGAATAAATTATATTCACGAAAGAATCGTAATAATCAACGTAAACATAATCGTTATGGACGAATGTCAACAACAATAACAACAACAACAACGACATCGACAAATTTACAAATGCAAAAACAACAACGCCGTCATCGACGACATCGTAAACGTGAAAATAATAGTGGCAGCAGTTTATCATCATCATCATCATCACCATTGTTAAATGACACAAATTCAGTCATGAATAATAATAATGATACAAATGAAATCGATACATTTGATCATGTTGATGATAATTATGATGCAGATGATTATGATGATAATGATAACGATGATGATGATGATGATGAAAATGACCATAATATGAATAATATGAATGATGAATATTTTGGTAAAACATCCGAGATAATTATTTTTGCTGAACCGGGTAAGTTTTTCTTTGTTTTACAAATTCATTGAATCAACATTTTTTTTTTGATAATGATAATGATGATGAACAAATACAACAACACACACACACACAATCCTATATACAGAATTGAAAATTGAATTTTTTTTTTGTTTCTGTTGTTGGGCAATCCTTAATGTTTCGTTTTTGTGTGTGTGTGTGTGTGTTGTGTGTGTGTGTCTGAAATATTCCTGTTTTCGCAATTTGTATTTAACGTCATAGAAACAAATGATGATGATGATGGTGAGGGTGGTCGTCGTCGTCATCATCATCATCGATGATGAATGATGTTTGTCATGATACAAAATGATTGTTTCTGTTGTTGTTTGATGATGATTTTTTTATCCAGAAGAGAGAGAGAAAGAGATAAAGATAGCGTGAAAGGATTGGTAGTGTTTATCTTTTTTTTTTTTGGTTTTGTTCACTTTTTTTTAGTGCTACATATATATGTGTGTGTGTGTCGTGAGAATTGATCTTTTGTGAATCATCATTTGTGAATGAATGAATGAATGAATTTCCAAGGAATTTTATTCATTCATTTACTCGAATATATCAATTTTTTTTTTTGTTTTGTTTTCTTTAAATCAATAATAATAATAATAGGTTATAATTTGATTAAAATCAATTAATTAACATCGATTGTTTAGATTCTCTCTCTCTCTCTCGTTCTTTTGTTCACCGTATGAACTGCATGATTTTCATTGAATTTGAAATAGAAAATTTGTTCAGTTCTCACTCACACACACACACACACAAAGTGCACACAAGTGGTTAATCATCCGCAAAGTTGTTGATGATGATGATGATGATGATTTGTTGTTGTTGTTTGTTTCATTCATATCTTTTTTTTTGTTTCTCTGTAAAACAAAATTTTTCAGTTTCATTCATTATGGCTACTGTTTTCGTTTTTTTGGTTTCATATTTTGACACATACGCATGTCATAGGTTTGTTTCCAAGAATTTTTTTTCGTTGTTTTTTGTTCTTTCAACAAATATCCAATGATGATTTTCGTTTTAGATTTGGATTAGACCGATTTTATGACAACCAAAATGTGAAAAAAAACAGCTGCTGCTGCTGCTGAAATGTTTTTCACTACTGGCTACAGTAGCAAGTCAAAAATCAAAATAAAAAATTCAAAATTCATTCATCTGCAGATACACACATAGCAACAAGCACGAATATAAAATCGATGGTTGCTGCTGTTGTTGCTGTTTTCTTTTCGTCGTTGCTGCTGTGTTTTAGTACATTGCCTTCTCATAGGCCAACCAAAAGAAAAACAAAAAAGGACAATGATCATTGATGTTGATCAATGATGTGATTGTCATATAAAGAAATAAATGAATGAAAGCAAGCAAGCAAGCAAAAATAAACCAAAAAAAAAAATCCTCATCATCATCATCAACAACAACATATGCGATTACGAAACCTTTAATTATAATCTCAATCATCATCGTTTGATGGATGAAACAAAAAAAAAAAAAAAGATAAAAAGTCAGATTTTGTAAAACAAATTGAATGAATGAATGAATGAATGATGATAATGTTTGATACCTTTTACTATTACTACCTGTATTTTTTGTGTATGTATTATTTGTTTGTTTGCTACATGTAGCGGCAATTTAAATGTAAATGTATCAAAACAGAAAAATTTTTTTCATTCATTCATTTGTTTGATTAAATTCTCAAATTTCAATTTTCTCATATACAAACAAAACACACACACACACAACCTGCAACCTGCATATATTAAAATCAGAATTTTTTTTTTGTTTTGTTTTTGTTATTCTGAATTTCATTTGATTTGAATAAAACAAAACAAAAAACAAAAAACACAATGGAAATGTATCCATTTGGCTAACAAGGACATGATGATGGCGTTGTTGTTGTTGTTGTTGTTATTGTATAGGTAAACGAAAAACAAAAATTAAAATTCCAAAATGAAAACATATCGTAATTCTGTGTAGGTGTATTTTTTTCCATCCATATGATGATGATGATGTCTGGTGATTGTTGAATTAGGCAAACCGACAACAACAACAACAACAACAACAACAACAACAACAACGACTACGACAACAACAACAAATGAATTGAATATCCAGATCATTTCATTTGATTTGGATGTTTCTGTTACATAATAATTAATTGTGCGAAAAAAAATGTGGCTAGACTTTTGAAAATGGAATACTTTCCAATACGACCACCGCCACCGCCACCACAACCACCACATTCATTAAATGTAAACACCAACGCAATGATTTTTATATATCAAAATGGACGTTCTTCTTCTTCGTCTTTTTCTTAATTATTATGATCATGATGATCGTATGTGAATCAATTGGTGGTGAGGTTGAACGAATTTTAAATACAAATTTTCATTACAAGGTGATGATGATGATGATGATTATCCATTTCTGGATATCATTTTTCATCTAGTTGGAAAAAAATGGTGAAAAATTATTGAATTGAAGCTAATATGCGATCATTTCATTTCATTTCATTTTTTTTGTTATTCAAAGAGCAATGAAATATGGTTGCCCTGGAAAAAGAAAATATCGATTATCATCATCACCATAATGATGATGATGATGATGATATGTTTTCAAAACTGCAACTCTTTTTTCTTCTTCATTTGAAACATGATGTAATGTTTTTTCTCTCTACAAAATAAAATACAATGATGATGATGATGATGATGATTTTTCTCCACAAATGATAATTTGTCATTCTCGCCTTGCGTTCCGAGTTCTTCTAGGAATAAAAAAAAAAAATCATCATCATCATTTACAACAGAGAAAAAAAACAAGACGAAAAAAAAAGAAAGAAAACCATGGTAGACAGAAAAAAAGAAGAAAAAATTTTTTATCTGGAACAAAAAAAAAAAATTTTTTTTGTTCGTTGAATACATTGAAATATGGATCATAATAATCATATAATATAAATCGGAGTTTTAGTTTTCTGAAATCGTTATTATTGATCTGATTTATTTTTTTTTTTGTTCTCAAAAATCGAAATATCGGAAATGGGGGTCATTCATAAATGATTATGATGATGATGATGATGATGAATAGAGCCAATGTGAAAAAATACCAATTCATCAGCAAAAATAATCACTGGATTATTGATGATCCATGGTTTGTCATTATCGTTGTTGTCTGATTTTTGTTGTTGTTGTTGTTGTCATTGTTGTTGTTGTTGTTGTTGTTTATGGAACAATTTTTCATTACTGGATTACGTAAATGTGTTTCATGTGGTCATATATGAAGGTCTAGAAACCAAATCAAAACAAAACAAATATGAAAAACAATCATCTGACCTAGTATTCAAAAAAAAAGAATTGATTTGATGAATATCTATTTCGATTATATTGAGAGAATATCGATTTTTTTATCATTTCAAACAAATTGGATATGAATCTGGCCATTGTATTTGTGTAATTAATTTCGTCGTCGTCATTGTCATCGTTGTTGTCGTTGTTGTTGTTGTTGTCGTTTATAGTAGCCATATATTTATTCGATAACAGTAAAAAAAAACAAATAAAAACAACAACAAAAAAACAACAACAACAACAACAACAAAAACTCATATAGAATTTTGATGATGAAAACAGAATGTTCCGGAATGGAATATATGTGTGTGTTATTCATAAAATTCTTTGTCAATTCAATCCATTATCATTTAGATTCTATGATATGAAATGAATAACTGAAAGTGAATTTTTTTTTTGTTCATCATTTAAAATTGATGCGGAAATGAAGAATTTCAAATTCTTGCTGTTTTTTTTTCTATTCCAATAAATAATCAGTGATAATTTAATTGAATTTTAAACAAAACAAATGAAAATTCTTTGTCCCATTTCCCCCAAAAAAAACAATGATATGTGTCTCTGATTTTAAAAGGTCAACTTTTATGACATCATCATCATCATCATTGATAATAACCGAATACCATACTGGGTAATTCATTTTTGTTGAAACATTTTCATTTTCGGGATTGTCTAGTGGGATTTCATTTCAACTTTTCTGCTTTTATTTCTTGTTTGTTGTTGCTGTTATTTACCGCATTATACCTGAACATTGTTGTGGTAGAGTTTATTTACCGTGTATTGAATGATAATGATTGTTGTCTAGACATTCATCATCATCATCATCATCATCATCATAATCCATAAATGTGATTATTGTCTGTCTAGAAACAAACAAACAAACGAAAAAAAATCATGCTATTTGTACACACACACACAGTACAAAAAACATATTTTCATTATCAGAAACAGAAAAACAAAAACAGTTTCAGTTCGTTTTTTTCATTTTGTTTTTGTTGTTTATTTATTTATTTAATTGTTTTTTTGTTGTTTCGACAATTTCGTTTGTCCACCAAGAGACTGACTTTTACAGAATATTCTGATTCCTTGGTAAACTTTTGAACAACAACGACAACAACAACAAAAAAATGAAGAATCAATCATTTTAGATTTAGATCAAAAAAAAAAAGAAACAAAAAAAAAAATTTCAAGACTTTGACTTTAAATATAAAATATAAAAAAAAAATTTCCCTCAGACAAGAAAAAAAAACTCATTGTATAATGATGATCGATGATGGCCAATTCTTTTCATTCATTCATTGAAAATTTTTGTTTTTGTTTTTGTTTTTTCCATTTTTTTTTATTTTATTTTGTTGTTGTTGTTGTTTCAAATGGAACAAATCGAACTACAACTACAACTATAGCCGATCAACTATTACCCGTATAATTCCAATCCAAAAAAAGTTAATTTATCCATCACGATTGATAATTTATCTTGATCATCAACATCACTATGATGATGATGATGATGATGATGATCAATTTTATCCAGTTGACCTTTGACATGACATGTTCATGTCATTATCATCATTATCATCATCGATGATTTGGATTTCATTTTAGTGAGAAAGAAAGAAAAGAAAAAAGATTACAGTATTTTTTTTAACGGTGGGG